GAACGGATTTTAATCTCCTGCGACGTGGCGACGACGCTGCAAGACGGAGCTGCGAGGTTATTGCACAAGGCGGCACCGCGAGGCCTCCTTCCTCCCTGGCCCGCACCGATTCCCGGCGCGTCCTCAACGCCTTCCTTTATCTACTAAAATCCTGGGAGTCCTGAGAAGCATTTTTGAATTCCGACTTCCCCTTTCAGAAAAGAGAGAAGAAAATGCTCCTCCCTGTGAACGCCTCAACGGCCCCTGCTATTCTTTTACTCCCCTTCCTTTGTTCTGACATTTTCCGTCATCGTCCAACCTTATCCCTCCGTATCCTTTGACCTAAAAACAAGCTCACCTTTTCTGCGCTCCCTCACACATCAAACCCACACGCGTCCATTTCACATCCTCAAGCTTCTCTCCTTACAGGTCGCGCCGTCCTCTCATAAAGACACGTTGCGTTCCCTTGCCCTTTTGGCTTCGTCGCGTCTCCTCTCGTTTCTTTTTCTTCCTGTCTCACACTTTCCGAAATGTGTTTCACCTTGTTCATATCCTGTCCAATTTCTTTCCCGTCTGTTTTTGCTCCGCCTCTCTTCCTCCTCCTCATCTTTTCATTCTCCATTAGTGCTCTTTCTTTCCTCTCTGCCCTCCCCCCCCTCCCCGTGCGGCATCAGGTGGCGGCTGTAGCTGTATCTCGGGCGAGAGGCGGTTTCCTTGTTCTCGTTATCAGGGCACCTTATCAGACCACGTTATCATTCTTCTATTGGCGGCGCTTTGTTCTACTCACCCAACTCGCTCTCTCCCTTCCCCCACCCTCTCTCTCTCCGTATCTTACCCTTTTCTCTTTCTTTTTTTCTCTTACATTCCATGCCCCTTTCTATCTTACTATTTTTTTCTAATTTCTCTTGTTCCCTCTCATCTCTCCCTCTCTCTCAATCTCTCTCTCTCTTTTTCTCTTTCTCTCTTTCTCTCTTTCTCTCTTTCTCTCTTTCTCTCATTCTCTCATTCTCTCATTCTCTCATTCTCTCTCTCTCTCTCTCTCTCTCTCTCTCTCTCTCTCTCTCTCTCTCTCTCTCTCTCTCTCTCTCTCTCTCTCTCTCTCTCTCTCTCGTTATCTTCCCAGTCCTAATTTTCTCACACCCTATCCATCACTCTATCTCTCTTTTTATTTTCCTTACTCCTTCTCTGTTCCCTCTCATCCCTTTCTCCCCCCTCTCTCTCTCTCTCTCTCCTTCGTTCCCTGCCACTGCCTCTTCCTCTCTGTCTCCGTCCGTCCGTCCGTCCGTCCGTCCGTCCCTCTGTCTCTGTCTCCTCCCTCTCTGTCTACCCATCTTTATAGCCAGATTCCCTTGTACCTTCCCCATAAACTCCGTACACCTGTTCAAAAGTCATCCCGTTTACAGTTCTGCTCCCTCATGCCTCGGAACCGCATACATCTTCGTTTCCCTTCCTATCTTTCCCTCGGCGTAAAAACTCCTGTCCCTTGCTTCTGACTCGCTCTTCCGCCGTAAAAGAAAAAAAGAGAAAAAAAAGAGAAAAAAAAGCGCATTCTCTATACCAATAAGCAAAAAGAAAATGAAAAAGAAAACGAACAAATAAAAAATAACAAAATGTAAAATAAAAATAAAAAAATATATATAAAAAAAACGAAAGCAAAATAAATAAATACGAATGTATGCTATAACTAGCTATAACATTTTAAGTGCAGTCAGAGCAATGTAAAACACACTTTGATGTTGAAGTATTGCGACGTTGATGCGTCAGGACAGCTGCTTAAATGATGGAGGGTGCAGGGTGTATCCCCCTAAAAAGAGTGAAATTGGCCGGAGAGGGGAATGCTGGTACGGCGAAAGGGGTTTAATACCAACAGGTGGTTGATGGGCGATTCGCCAAGCAGGCCGCGGGGAAGAGAACGCTAAGAGGAAAATATGGGGGAATAATCTGAGGCGAGATGGAATGGCAGAGGAAAAGGGAGCTAAGGATGTCGCGATGACAGGGAAGGGAAGAAGGATGGGAGGATAGAAGGATGGATACCGATGGATAAATATTTGGAAGGATGGATGATTAGATACATAAATACATGAGAGCGAGAGAGAGAGAGAGAGAGAGAGAGGGAGAGAGAGAGAGAGAGAGAGAGAGAGAGAGAGAGAGAGAGAGAGAGAGAGAGAGAGAGAGAGAGAGAGAGAGAGAGAGAGAGAGAGAGTTGCAGCAAGAATGTAAGTCACATCCAGAGCGACAGCGAGAAAAAGAACCAACCTTTTACGGAAATAAAGGAGGGTAGCCGACGAAGGAGGAACAGGAGACGGACGTTAATAAATTTGAGCAGAATGGAAAGGCCGAGAGAGGCCCTTGAAGCAGAGCGTACAACGGAAATGCCCCGGCATAGGCTTAAGCACGACGGCCGCCTCCTCCAGGAAGGAAGAAGCGAAACGGTTCATTTTAGGCCTTGGAGCGGCTGCGGCGACGGCGTGGAAAGGGAAGTAGAACATTGCTGATAACTTGGGACTAAGACGTAAGGAAAATAAGTGATTTTTTAACTATAACTTCAGCTAGGCTTCGTGTGCGTAGTGAATGATAATATTTCCAACCAATCAACATTGTACACATAGAATAAATGGAGTTGGGAATTCCCGAGGGTTCCGCTCACCTTCGGCCGACCCACCACGAGCGCTGTATAATTCAACGCCGTTGCATCCACGTCGGTGCAGGGGGTTCTATCCCAAAAAGGAATACGTCAGAATTAAAATGTTCTCTTCTTCCCTAATACTAAGACAAAGGACCAGTTATAGAGTCAAATAATACAACAATACAGAACAAGTAAACTCATCAAGACAATTCCTTATGATACTTCTCTCCCACTGTAATCTGCTGTCCGTCTCCCAAGCCTGCGTTCTCTCGCGAGCGCCTCATGAGACAAACTCCATCTCCCTGTTCAATATTCCTTTCTTACGCACGTTCTACCGAGAAATAACGCGGGTTCAATAAGGAGGAGCGCCGGGGAGGTGGAGATACCTAGCTTGCCGGGCAGCCCTTGCTCTGTATCGATCAGCAACAGCTTCATAACACTTCTTCATTCTCTCCTTTTTTGGAACGAAGACGCTTATTAAATTGTTGTCGCGATCGACCTTTCAATTACACCTTTTTCAAAGCTCAAAATCAATACCATGGTCTCTGGTACTAACCGTCGGTTTCCATTTGTCTCTTTACTAAGGTGACTAAAGTATGCTTATTTTTTTCTTTCCATTTTTTTTAAACAGACGACACACATTAGTCTCTCCAGCCATACCCATAAATCTATGGGTATGGACATACACACACACACACACACACACACACATACACACACACACACACACACACACACACACACACACACACACACACACACACACACACACACACACACACACACACACACACACACACACACACGCACACGCACACATACACATGCATATACACATACATACATACATATATAATATATATAAATATATAAACACACACACACACACGCACACATATATGTGTGTGTGTTTATATAACAGATAAAAAGGAGGCCATACATTTACAACGACCAGCAGACACCTCTGAATCTTAATATCCGCAGTAAAAGGTTGTAAGGATTTTGCATCGATTCAAAATTAAAAAGACGGGGCCTCCGTCCACCAGGCTGCCAAACTTTAAAATCTATTTGCAAATGTTGCAAAACTTGGTCCTGAAGGAGATCCTCGGAAGAGGTGGAGGAGCTTGGAAGACCAGCAGGACCCGGGCACATTAAGCTCCGCGACGTGGAGGATAACTCCGTTCCCACGGGGGAGCTTTTCTTGCGCAACTTGGCTGACGCCGGGCAAAGCCCCCCCCCCCCCCCCCCGGCGCCCATTAGCCTACCTAGTCCTGGCAGAGCGGCAAAGGTAGCAAGGGCCTGTCTCCTCCAAAAGATGGCGACAGCGACGCCCGTCTGAAGAAGCTTACCTGCCAGATGAAGGGACGGAGGTACTACCTACAGTCTCCGAGGGACACGCGCCTTTAAAAACTCTCATTTGTCTGTACTAACTGGCCTCGGCGCCTCTTAATATCACCTGCCAGGTCCTTCACGCTGGCTATGTTACCTGGCTGTGTGACCCGTGGAAGCGACACGTGCCTCTCCTTCTCAATAATTCAATGTTTCCCTTGCTCCTAGCATGACCTGCTTTTGTCGTGCCATTGCTGAACATTCCCAATTCAACCCAATTCAACGGTCCTTGCCTTTCGCTCTGGCAAACAGCTGAATATCCTGTTTTCTTTCTTATTGGTTTAAGACCTTCGTAACAGGTGAGTCTTTCTCTCCATTTGCCTCTTTACCGTAATATGTGACATCGTCCTTCCATGCCTCTTCCCCTGCTCACGCTCCATGTCGCCGTCGGCCTGGCGGGCTCCCGGCGAGACCCTCCCTCATATACGTTGTTCCGACAAAAAGGTACAGCGGCCTAACGTGACACCAGATGCGCCCACAAAGGAGGCTCGCGAGGCCCGTAATTCCCAAGATAACATATAACCCAAAGACACACAAACCCATTCTGGACGTAAATATGAAAAACCTGCAAATTCCTGATGATTGTTCTTATGCCCAAATTCTCTTTGAAGACATTTTCACCAAAAGTTCTCTGATCGCTGGGAGCTGCTGGGCGTCCTGGTAGGATTGGCATGTCCTCTTTGCTTACTTTACAAACCACGTAAACAAACAGAATAATGCGACGCTTGGACAGAGCGAATGCCTTTGATCCCACGGGATAAACTCGGAAACTAAACAGAGACTAAAGGTAAACGCCGAGACAGTTTTCCCCTCCTTCTTACAGCTCTTATTTTAGTTGTAGGCGTCAATAACACCATGTACAACCCTTACAGCTTCGAAGACCTATTTCATCAACCTTAGTCTAAATTTTTATCTGAAAACTTACGAGACTTCACATCGACACGGAACCCTACAAGTTTTCGGGAGAACTCTTGTGGTCTTTCCGCAACGCGAGAGCAACACCTACCTTGGTCCACGGAGTTGCGGTCCCGGATGTGCGTGACGGCCAGGGGGTTCTCGGTGAGCAGGCGGTAGTACCCCTGCAGCACCAGCACCAGTTCCTCCGCGTCTCGGTCCTCAAGGCTGACCACCAGGTTCTGTTGGGAAAGAATATTCGTTTTTAAGATCACTGTCATCAAGGCGGCTTAGTCGCAACACGCGTCCTGCTAATTTAATACTTAAAAGCGGCTAAAATACTTTGGACACTTCTGATGTTTGCTTAGCCTGGCGGTCTAGACATCTAAAGCTGATTTTCACGCGTGACGTTTCTTCGCCGTGCGTTCACACAAAGAAAAGGTCAAAGAAGCCCATTAGCGCCCACAAGCCCTGAGCTAACTTTGAGAAAGCCCTAGAAGGCTAGCGCCGCCACCATCCTTCTTCGGGCGCTGACGGGCGACGCTGCCCCAGGGACCCTAGGGACCCCAGGGACCCCCTGGAACCCCCTGGGGCCGCATGTAGGCGGGGCTCCGAGCGAGCTCAGGGGGATCAAACCCTCAGCACCGCCACAGAATTACTCCTTAATCCTGATGGGGACACGTTAAAGATGACCTGCCGCCGATAATGCAACGCACTCTGCCCTTCGTGGTGCATCGCCAAAGTACAAGAGAGCACTTCCAGACAACGCACAATATACACATAGCAACCTCGAGCCCCTTTCGTCATTCTCGCTGATGAAGCAACTTCATTACTTCCAGCGCATGGCCATAACACGAAGATAAATATGCAGGGGATAATGGCCCGCGAGCCCATGCCATTTTGCATATCCTCCTCGCTCAGCGCGACTGTTTTTAGGCCCCGATTTTGCTGGGCCTTTTGTGTACATAACACTGCCCATTTTTCCATTACAAGAACACAAACCTGCTATTACTACATTGTGCGCTTGTGAAACCTTGTCAGCGACCCTCATGTACGTAAATGACTGGTCCCTCACGAATAACCTTGCATCGAATACTCTGGGTTTTCTGCCATGATAATCGTACTCTTGACTTCAGCAACATATAAGGAAAACTGATTACACAACGATCAATGCGGACAAGATCATAAGGAGAGAGAGAGAGAGAGAGAGAGAGAGAGAGAGAGAGAGAGAGAGAGAGAGAGAGAGAGAGAGAGAGAGAGAGAATCATTCAAGCAAAGGCAGATTTCTACCTCACTGTGTGATTAAACAGCAGAGACTTCTCAAGACGGAATAATGTGCGAGCATAATCCCTTACGTTGTACCATTAGGCTTTAGTTAACAGCAATGAAGACCAGACGCTTTCCTATCTGTCAGGTTGGCTCTCTGTTGCCCCGGGATGACGGCCTCGACTCCACCCATTGGGAGGATCGCCTCAACGGACACGGGGTTAACACCTTCATGCCGCTGAGCATTATAAAAGAACAGTTCGGCTCAGAGAAGATCTTGTTTATGTTGGTCTAGAGGTGGATAATATACTTGCCGATAATTGGTCATAATATTCTCCGGACGCCCACCCATCGGCAAGTGAACAAGCAACAAACATCTCAGCGGAGAAAGAAATAAGAAAGTTTCCGCCTCGTGTCTTTCTTGGCGCGGGGTCATGATAGGTCATTAAGCTCCCTGTTGACATGACTCTGAGCCCAACCCACCACATATATATTCCGTCAGGACGACATACCTTGCCTCGACACACAAACACCACAGTAAAAACGAAATCCAAGTAAAAAGGCCTTATATTCCAACCTGGAATGACGCCGTTTTTTTTATTTTTTCCCCAAGCTTGCATTTTCATGTATACTACAAAAATGGACTATTACTGCCATTGTCTCAACAAAATTCCGTCACACGAGCATTACCATACCATTTCTATCACAACGGCTTCCTCAATCTCTACCATTACAGCGCTCACTCCTCCGTGCAGGGGAGGGTGCGGGGGTGTCTGGGGTAATGACTGTAACTGAGGTGATGGCAACACTGTGTCTCTTCTCCTGAGTTACGTGTTGTGCCGGTGCTGATGCTGGGCCTCAGTCTATGCTCACCTATTTTAAAGGTTATATGTAGCATTTTAGCACAGAGTAAGGCACTTCAATTAGAAAATTTACCATTACCCATATCATTAGGCGGTGGACTGTGTATTGCATATCTCGAAATAACATTGCAATAGTGATCTCCAAATATGCTTGTTTATTCGCCGTGGAACCAGTGCCACATCCAGCCCGGCGCGCTCACGGACATGCTGTTGCCCATCATCTTTACTCGCTCGCTCAATGTTTCTCTTTATTGATCCTCATGGTAGTATTTCTGACTACACTCTAGCTCACTCCATGCACATACATATACGCACAAACGCTTCCTTATTCCTATTTTCATCCAGTGCCTGTCTGTCTTTATCTCTCTCTGACTTTGTCGCTCTCCATGTGTCTGTCTCTGTCTCTATCTCCCCCCTTCTCTCTCCCTGTCTGTCTGTCTGTATCTCTCCCTCTTCTCTCTCCCTGTCAGTCAGTCTGTCTGTCTGTCTGTCTGCCTGTGTGTCTGTCTCTCTCTCTCTCTCTCTCTCTCTCTCTGTGTGTGTGTGTGTGTGTGTGTGTGTGTGTGTGTGTGTGTGTGTGTGTGTGTGTGTGTGTGTGTGTGTGTGTGTGTGTGTGTGTGTGTGTGTGTGTATGTGTTGTATATATTTCCTGTGTTAATTATCAGATCTCGCGCTGGCTGATATTGATTCTGCTGGCCGTCTATAGCATCAAGGTGGACAGTAGCAGAGACAGGGAGAGAGAACTGATAATACGGATGTATTATTTTTATATATCTATATAAGATGCCTCCATCATCCACACACACACACACACACACACACACACACACACACACACACACACACACACACACACACATATATATATATGATGTATGTATATGTATGTTTGTGTATATATATATGTGTGTGTGTGTTTGTGTGTTTATGTGTGTGTGTGTGTGTGTGTGTGTGTGTGTGTGTGTGTGTGTGTGTGTGTGTGTGTGTGTGTGTGTGTGTGTGTGTGTGTGTGTGTGTGTGAGTGTGTGGATGATGGAGGCATCTTATATAGATATATAAAAATAATACATCCGTATTATCGGTTATCTCTCCCTGTCTCTGCTACTGTCCACCTTGATGCTATAGACGGCCAGCAGAATCAATATCAGCCAGCGCGAATTCTGATAATCAACACAGGAAACACTTTCTCTTTCATTCTCACGTGCCTATATGTTGTCATCCTTTTATCATTGCTATCGCGAACAACTACCTTGTCAGATTTGGTCATAACCGCAGTCCCGTCTCGTCCTGAAAGTCCTAGATAAGGATCACATCCTCTTGCCTCCAGCTATTTCCCCTTTAGCTCTCCCTTTGCAACACAAGGTCCACTCCCTTCCTGCTGAATCAAAATGTCATTCGCTCACTAAATATGCAAATTCAATCGGACTTTCCCTAACTAGAAATGCTGGTAAACATTCTAAATGTTTATTTACAACCGAGAACATCGCTGATGGTATAACTGCTTCGGCGTCACAATAATACATTAACCACAATCCAGTCCACCAATATCACGTGGAAATCGTGTTTGCGGGAGGTGATGTTAAGACTCTGCTTACATTATTAGCAGCATGATGTGCCGGCAAATCGCGTTAATGAGACTAACGTGATGTGCCAACGTCTGACAAAACTGATATGGTGTTGGAATACGGCCTGGTGTGAGATTAAAGAGGTATGAATAATACAGTTTGGTACGCCTCAACTTGGTATGATGTCAGCTGAGTGGTGATGACGCCCTGCATATTGGTGATGCCCAAGAATGAGTCACAAGAGGAAGGGACTGAACGCATGTCCATGATATGTTTCCTGCCGGCTGCAGTCTGCGAACTAAGATTGAAAGGCTCCATTCACCTGCTGTAACGCTTAAGAATACAACCAAGGTGCTGCTACACAATATTTAATTCATTTACTTACATAGCAAAGACAAACAATAAAGTAGACAAATCCACGAATGCTTCAACACTCATAGTTCACAAAACTACTTAGCCTAGTTCCCGAACTTCAAATATCAGTTATAGTGCAAAAATATATATATATATATATATATATATATATATATATATATATATATATATATATATATATATATATATATATATATATATATATATGTACACGCAGGCACACACGTACACACACACACACACACATACACACACACACGCACACACTGTGCCCCTGGCACGAGGCGGCGCCTTACCCCGTTGTCGTCGCGATTACAAGGGTCGTTGACGATGTAGTCACTGAACTCCTGGTCATAATGGTCGCTGAGGATGTACCCGGGCGAGTCCTCGAGGCTGAACGTGTCGCTGATGGTGTAGGTGCTTGGGTCCGGCGACAGGTAATTATTGTTGTCCGACTCGTACGACAGGAGCGACGTGTCGTCCGGCACGATGAAGGTGCCGTCCGACTTGACGAGGCAGCCGTCGGAGCGGACCAGCGTGCCGTCCGACGTCACCACGCTGCCGTCGGGGGTCAGCAGGGCGCCGTCGGGAGTCACATACACTGGCTGGGCCTTCCGCCTCGGCGCCGCTTCGGGTATGTACTGCGTGTACTCACTGTACTGCCCTTCTTCGCAGGGATACACAGGATACCCGCTGGCCCGCAGGACCTCCTCGCACTGGTACATCGGGTACCCGGTAGCTCGGAGATCCTCTTCTAGGATCGAGTAGCTGAGATCGCCGTCGGCAGTAACCACCATCGGGTAGGATCCGTCCGCCGCGGGAGAGGGGTGGTGGGCGCAGCGCGGCACGGGGGCGCCAAGAGGGGCGGGCGCCTCGCAGGGCGTGCACATTCCACACAGTGCGCCCAACATGTTGACCCTTCCCTGCTCACGGCATCAACACTAACGTCTCACTTTTAACTTTGTTTCAAAATATCGAAATATACTCTTTCATAGTTCACTGAACACACCAACGAAAATCATGATCCTATAATTGAAAACAAAAATAGAAACAGATCGTTAAAATCACCTTTTCTCACACTGTTTGTCTGAAGCGTAGTTTCTAGCCTGGCGGTTTCCTTACTTGCAGCCAAACCACAAAATACAACGAGGGAGACTGAAGGCCGCTGCCACCCAACGCCACTAGAGCAGGGAACCAGCGGCGCTCATGGAGGTGAGCTCGAGCGCTGATATAAAACAGAGCCATCGCTCCCTCCGCTGCCTATATTTACAGCTTCCATTTCAATTTAGCGAAACACAATACGATCCCCTTAGTCCGGCTCCTCCATCTTCTCCGCGCCGTCCATCTCTGCCTAACTCAAACCTCGGCTTTCTTCCTCCTGCGCTAT